CAAATTTTTAAATGTTCCCTGCGGGATAATATTCCCACTTAGAAATACACGTGGAATTATTATCCTACCTGGGAGATAATTATCCCACCTATAATTACAAGTGGGATTATTATCTCCCAGGTAGATAATAATTTCACTTACATTTCTAAGTGGGATTATTATCTTTATGGCACACGATTAAAATTATGGATTAAATTAAATCCAAAAACTTATTTGTCAAAGCGGATATTAATTCCACTTGTATAAATAAGTGGATTTATTATCTAATAGGATTTTCATCCAAAAAAAATCCCACTTATTATTTTGTCAATTTCATTATTCCAAAAAATTAAATAAGAAGAAAACATAAATATTGGTTGAATGTTTGCTTTTTAAAAATATATTATTCCAAATTGTTTAAAAAATAAAATCAAGGTGGGTTCAAGTGGGTTCAACTGATCTAAAGATGTTAGCTATTCCATATAAAATTATGTTCGAGATTCGCTCGAATGTTTAAAGAAAATGTAGCTGTAATTCCATTTTGTTTCGCTTCATTCATTCAACTGTTTAAAAATAACAGTTTTGTTCAAATGTTTAGGAGTAGATATGTTATTTGAAATTCGGAGTCAAATCATCCATTTCAGTCGAAATGGACATGAAATTGGTGTTAGACAATTTTTTTTTGTTAAAAAATCACGATAAACATTTTTAAATTTCTCAGTCTAAGAAAAATAGGTTATTTATTATGGTTCCATAATCCAAAGTCAATGAGTTATGTTCAAAAAAATGTTTTCATTAATTTGTTAAAATGTTGAAAATTCACCCTAATTAAGTGAAAAATTAAAAATATATGTTTTAAAATTTTGTATTTTTTCACGGATTAGGACAACAAAAAGCTTTTTAATAACTCGATGACACATGATATTTTTTAAAAGAATTGAAATATTTCATTAGGGGAAAAAATCTATTTTTTGCGGTATTCTTGTTCTCGCCAACTCTAAATGCTCATAACTTTTTACTGATACACTCTTTTTCAATGAAATATAAAGCAAAATAACAAGGAAGATGAGTTTTATAAATGCAGATAAAATTTTATTGATTTATTTTTAAGGTTTCTTCAAAAAGCTTATTTTTTTGTTCATTTTATTTTTTGCTGTACATTTTTTGTTTTTTTGCGGTAATTTTTTCTGTTTTTTGCGGTAGTCGAAATTTCATTAATTCTTAATATATTTTAACTGCATATACCTTTTTCATAATTTCTGGTATCTCTTTATTAAAAGATAATATCTTTTAGAGAGAACAAGAATACCGCAAAAAATAGATTTTTTACCCTAATGAAATATTTCAATTCTTTTAAAAAATATCATGTGTCATCGAGTTATTAAAAAGCTTTTTGTTGTCCTAATCCGTGAAAAAATACAAAATTTTAAAACATATATTTTTAATTTTTCACTTAATTAGGGTGAATTTTCAACATTTTAACAAATTAATGAAAACATTTTTTTGAACATAACTCATTGACTTTGGATTATGGAACCATAATAAATAACCTATTTTTCTTAGACTGAGAAATTTAAAAATGTTTATCGTGATTTTTTAACAAAAAAAAATTGTCTAACACCAATTTCATGTCCATTTCGACTGAAATGGATGATTTGACTCCGAATTTCAAATAACATATCTACTCCTAAACATTTGAACAAAACTGTTATTTTTAAACAGTTGAATGAATGAAGCGAAACAAAATGGAATTACAGCTACATTTTCTTTAAACATTCGAGCGAATCTCGAACATAATTTTATATGGAATAGCTAACATCTTTAGATCAGTTGAACCCACTTGAACCCACCTTGATTTTATTTTTTAAACAATTTGGAATAATATATTTTTAAAAAGCAAACATTCAACCAATATTTATGTTTTCTTCTTATTTAATTTTTTGGAATAATGAAATTGACAAAATAATAAGTGGGATTTTTTTTGGATGAAAATCCTATTAGATAATAAATCCACTTATTTATACAAGTGGAATTAATATCCGCTTTGACAAATAAGTTTTTGGATTTAATTTAATCCATAATTTTAATCGTGTGCCATAAAGATAATAATCCCACTTAGAAATGTAAGTGAAATTATTATCTACCTGGGAGATAATAATCCCACTTGTAATTATAGGTGGGATAATTATCTCCCAGGTAGGATAATAATTCCACGTGTATTTCTAAGTGGGAATATTATCCCGCAGGGAACATTTAAAAATTTGCGATTTTCGGGGTTATTATCCCGCAGGATCGTGGAATTAATATCTTTCGGGGATATTCCCCCAATCAAAATCCATATAAAAAACTATTTTTCAAATGCTATTTTAATTTTAAAAATGATTAATTTAAGTTTTTAGTGAAATATTTGTTATCTCACTTAAACCATGATAACTTTTCATTGGCTCGACCGGCTTCTACTATACCGGTACCAAAACTACAAATTTACAAATGTTGTTACATATAAAAATGTAGCTCTTATATAACTCTTTTAGGAACTGAAAATTATTTTTCAATATATTTATTCATTGCAGAGATTTCCCGGTTCAAATAGGTAATGAAAAATATCGAATTTTCATCATTTTCCAACTTTAAACAGCCACAGAATCGCAAAAACAGCACCAAATGACCTGAAATTTAGCATCCAACTCACTTTTTATGTCATTTACAAGAAATTTTTTCCTGAGATTGTAATTTAAAAGTCCAAAAATATGTTGAATGAACCCTTTTTTCGATTCTGCCCTATAGTGATATGAAGGGAGAAAGAGTCAAGTCGATAACCATCATTGGGTATTCAAAATACAATTTTTAGCGCATTTTTGAAACTTGTTTCGAAAAGGTAGCTTAATATGTCGCTTTGTTCGTTCGTTCGGGCGGAGAAAAACTTTTTAACTAGACATTGTAGAGAGTTCTAGTTTGTTTTATTAGCTCAGGTCCATTGTTTTATTTTCGGGAAACGCATTTAAAAGTCTTGAAACAGTGTTTTTGTACTATAATTAATGATTTTTATATTTCATATGAAAAAACACGTGATGAGAGCGTTTAGAAATTCGAATTTATTTCTACCGTTGAAAAATTTTGAATCTCAAGAAACCGTTAAATTACCAAGCCTTTTTATATGAAATTTTTTTTTGCAACAGACTGTTATTTATACTATAATTAATGCTTTTACTGTAACTTTTGGCAAATTACTTTCAAATTCATAAGACCGTTAAAATTTGAACTTCAGAAACTGTTAAATGATAAACAATTTATATATGAAAATTAAAGATATTAAATTGTTAAATGTACTATAATTAATGATTTTTTGTGTATCTTTTGGCGGTAAGCTTTCAAAAACTTACTGACCGTTAGAAAATTTGAATCTCAAAAAACCGTTAAATGATAAACTTTTTATATATGGAAATTCATTGGAACAAATTATTTGATTATTCTATAATTAATGTTTTCATAGTGCAACTTTTAGCGACAAAATTTCAAATTATTTTTTGACCGCTAAATAATAAAGCCTTTCTATATAAGCATTCATTGTAATTATTTGCTAATTGCACTAAAATTAATGATCTTCTAATCTTCTAATGATCTGAAAATGAACGCAAAATAAATTGATAATCAAATACTGATCGTTAACACAAAAATGCGCTTAAGTCCCTCGATCAATAAAATTAGGACTTCTGTAATTTTTTTAAACAGTTCTTTAACAATGAACAGTGTTGCAAATGTAGATGTCTACACTAGATGAAGAATGTAGATTCTTCAATAGTTTTTGTCTAGCTAAGAAACTTTCTTCATAAAGATCGATTCTACATGTAGAAAGAAAAAAACCATCTACATGTAGATTGTGTCTACATGTAGAATCTGTCTACATGAAGATTCGATGTAGATGTCTAAAATTCTACATTTTTTTCCAGGTCTACATCAGAGAAGAATGTAGAATCGTAGACATCTACATTAAATCTACATGTAGACAGATTCTACATGTAGACACAATCTACATGTAGATGGTTTTTTTCTTTCTACATGTAGAATCGATTTTATGAAGAAATTTCTGTCTCAGAATTTATCTGATCCAGACAAATAGCCAGAATGCAACACTGACAATGAATCATTCCTTTTAAAAAAGTGCCTCATTTCCGAAAATTTTTAAAATTAGACTAGTGAGCTACTTTTAAAGCCAAGCTTAATGTCTTGGTCATATTTTATTTTCATGTTACTAATTCTTAATATGTGATTTCTTTTTACTTAATTGTAGTTTAAAATAGTTCGACTTATTGAATAAGAAATTACGTTACGTTAGATGTCAATACAAACACCCAAATTTTTAGTCTTTGAGTATTTGATTTGGGGTACCCCAAGAAATTTGGAATAATCAGCTTTAAAAATCAAATTTTAATCACTTTTTGTATTTTGACTAGTATTACCTTTTTGCAAATCAAGTGGAATCGATTTTTACGAGCCTTATTGTGACTTAATAAAATGTAATGTGTTATAGCTAGTCAAAAGAATTTATATTTTGTATTAAAATTGTAAAATTATATATAAATAAATCAAACAAACAAAAAAAAACTAAAATTCACACTTTAACATTTCTTAAAAGATTCCTTGAAATTTTAACACGTAAAACAAAGATTTTAGGCAATATACGGAGCTGAATATAAAGAAATAATTTTTAAAAATTAAAATTAAAAAACTTGACATTATAATGTCAAGACGGGGTCTTACTAGTCAAAATTCAAAAGTGAAATAATATTTATCGACCCATGTTTTCAGTGAAGCATAATTAATATTGAAATTTCAAAGATTATAATTTTAGATTTCTTTAATCCTTTACTCATTTTATGATATTATGAAGCAAAATTAATTTTTAAAATGTATAATATATTTTTTTTGATATTAAGCCCTAAAATTTATTCATAAAATTGCTATTTTAAACCAAATTTCAATTATAAACATGATTATAACTTTTTTTTATTTATTTACAGACTTTCTGGTTTAAGCCCATTCGTTGGAGCTGATGATTACGAGACAATGACAAACGTTTCATTCGCTAAATATTCATTCGATTATGCTCCTTTTAATGAAATATCATCGGTCGCAAAAGATTTTTTAGCGGAGCTTTTAGTAAAGGAATCATCAAATAGAATGACGGCTAAAAATGCATTAAAACATGAGTGGCTTATCCAACTGGACTCTTTGTCTCCTGGCGTTACACTGTCGTTGACAAAAACGAAATTAAAGCGATATGTGATTTTGAGACGGTAAGAAAATTCATTGTAATCCAGAGTTGCGAAGACTTGCCAATAATCAAGCCAATTCGCAATTCTGAGTAAATATTATCCTTTGAAATATAAATACCTGTAATTAGGTTTTTCCGATTTTCCGGTCCGGGTTTTTTGGAACCGAAATCAAAAATTTTAAACGCTCGTATTTTTAAAAGTTTTAAAAATTTTTGAAAGATTATTTACTTTTGAGCGATTCAACAGATCGGTTGAGCTCCGAAAAAAGTACTTTTTGATACATGTTTATTTAAACATGGCCTTATACTTTCCTTCTATTAACAAACACAATGCCCCCAATGACTACCCAAATTTGTCGACGAACACGTTCATCACCAACAAAAAAAATTTCGTGAAGCTCACGAAAATCCTCTGGAACAAAACGACCCACAACATTGAATCAAAGAAGCATTGGAACAAGACAATGATGAGAATCCAAAATTAACAGATGTAAACGAAATCGTGAGCATCATAAGAAATCTGAAAAATCCAAAAGCTCCGAGACTAGATGAAGTCAATAACATACTCATCAAAAATCTTCTTGAAAAAGGTTTCGAATACTTGAAATTCATAGGAAACACGCAAAAGTGATTCCTATACCAAAACCTGGAAAACCAGCAAAAGAGTTGAGGTATTGCTGAACAGAATTAACGATAATCTTGAGGATAACAACATCATGCCAAACCAGCAGTGCGGCTTTCGGACTGGAAGATCAACATCTCACCAGCTCATCAAAGTGATCAAATCAGCAAAAGAAAACTTAAACAACAAAAAGTCAATAGGCATGATCTTCCTGGATGTAGAAAAAGCATTTGACAGAGTCTGGCATAACGGACTCTTGGACAAAATGCTCAAACTGAGATTTCCACTGCCATTTATAAAAACTGTAAGATCTTTCCTCAGTGAAGGATCTTTCGCAGTTTTTACTAAAGGTCAGTTCTCAGAAATCAAGGTAATCAAATTCGGAGTGCCACAAGGAGCAGTGCTTTCACCAACTCTCTACAACATCTTCACGTATGATGTTGTAAGAGAGACAACCAACAACATCGGTCTTTTCGCAGATGATACAGCACTGTATCATTCTGAAGAGAACTCGGTCGGTATTGTGGCACATCTACAGCACACAGGAAAAAAAGTTCAACAACACTTGAAAAAATGGAAGATGGACCTCAACAAACAAAAAATCAAAGTACTGCAAAACAATTTCTTGAGAATTGTTCTCAACAAAACAAGATATGAAAGGATAATCGAACTTCATACAGAAGCGAAAGTACCGTCCATTAAACACTACGTCGAAAAGTTGCAAGGCCTTACAAAACACCGAATAAATTAAATTAAAAATAAAAAATCGTTAAAAAAACTTTTTAAAAAACACGCTTTTTTTCCCGAAGACTAAAAAACAAATAACATTTTTTTCTTGAAGTTAAATCTGTTGTTAAGAATAAAAACCAAGCGACCAAAAAAGGAGCAAATAAAAAAATGTTAAAAACAACTTTTTAAAAAACACGCTTTTATCAAAAAGATTAAAAACCAAAAACTTGAAAATAAAATAAGATCACACTTTTAGCGAATCAGGATTTTAAAAATTTTCTTGTGACAACTAGAGAAAATAGCTGAACTAAGAAATTATCCTTAAATAACGTCCCACGCTTTTAGAGTCATTGTGTTCTTGGACTTAATCACAATATTTTGAAAAAAATTTATGTTACATTTCTAGTTGTCACAAGAAAATTTTTAAAATCCTGATTCGCTAAAAGTGTGATCTTATTTTATTTTCAAGTTTTTGGTTTTTAGTCTTTTTGATAAAAGCGTGTTTTTTAAAAAGTTTTTTTTAACATTTTTTTATTTGCTCCTTTTTTGGTCGCTTGGTTTTTATTCTTTAAAACAGACTTAACTTCAAGAAAAAAATGTTATTTGTTTTTTAGTCTTCGGGAAAAAAAGCGTGTTTTTTAAAAAGTTTTTTTTATTTGCTACTTTTTAGTCTCATTCTTTTAATAGAATTTCGACCACAACAATTCAAATAGATTTCCACTTCGTTACGTTCAACTGTTTATAGCAGAGATCGAAGCCGATTTTTTCGGCTTAACTCAACTTTTGATTTTTTTGATAGAAAAAAGCCAGAGATCGAAGCTGATTTTTTCGGCTTAACTCAACTTTTGATTTTTTTGAAAGAAAAAAGCTATTTAACATACATTTCAAGTATTTATATTGGACTTTACATGCTTTACTATGATTTTGTGTAATATTTTGTCAGCATGTAGCTATAGTAAGCTCAGAATTTACATGCTGACAAAATATTACACAGAATCATAGTACAGCATGTAAAGTTCAATTTAAATACTTAAAATGGTAGTTAAATGGCTCTTTTCTATCAAAAAAATTGAGTTAAGCCGAAAAAATCGGCTTCGATCTCTAATTTATAGATTACAGTAGGTTTATAGGCTCAAACAAGCGCATCCAAATTGAAGGTTAATAAATTGTGGGTTAATGACTGGATCTCAACAGGTCACATGGAATTAAATCGGTTTCTAAGAAGTGTAAGTTTATTCACCTTTGAATCAGATCATTTAGTGTCAAAATACGTTTTTGGCAAACCTTTTAAGGTAGTTGAATCAGAAGATAATGCTGCTGAATCTTGTGATTTGGTGGATAGTAATTGTATGTCTTTATACACTGATGCATCAAAGTCAGAAAGTGGTGTTGGCATCGGTCTGTTCAGCAATGAGCTGAGTTTGAATTCATCCTACAAACTGCAAGATCATGCTTCTGTCTTTCAGGCAGAAGTTCAAGCTATTTGTGTGGGTGCTAATTACTGTTTGGATATGGATTTGAAAGGCTGTAGAATTTGCTTTCTTTCAGATTGTCGATCAGCTTTGACGGCTTTAAACAATTATGTTGTGAAGTCTTTAACAGTTCTTGATTGTATTTCTTGTTTAACAGCATTGGGGCAAGAAAATGAAGTCATCCTAAAATGGATACCTGGGCACAGTGGTATTGAAGGTAATGAAATAGCTGATCAATTAGCTAAAGAAGCAGTACACAAGGAAGATTATGACAAGTCGACGTACTATGGGTTTGGCTTGTTGAAGTCAAACATACGAGAATGGATGGAGAGACAGCATTTTCGTATCTGGAATTTAGAGGAAGGAGCCATGACAGCCAAAAGACTTCTTGGTCCTAAAAATAAGAACAAAATATCTGATGCTCTCAGACTACCAAGGAAAGATCTTAGCATCTTAATTGGTGCTTTGACAGGACACATGAGTATCAATAGTTTTCTTTTTAAATTGAATTTGTCTAACAGTAAAATTTGCAGGTTTTGTAAGGTAAATGAGGAAACAATCACTTATATTTTTTGTAAATGCAGAGCATTACGAGTACAACGTGTCAAGCATTTTGATGAGGACTACTTGAATGATGAGGATATAAATAAGCAGCATTATCAGGACATTATTGGCTTCATTAAGGACATCGGAATTCTAACATAGGGGACTTGGGATGGTACAACAGATCATCGATCGCAGTTTAAATTCAATGAATGTCATTTATATGTTATACAAAAATCCGTCAAGCCTTTAATAAATAGAAAAGTCAATTTAATTAAATTGGTGAAGTGTTATCAACAATGTAATACATTAAAAACAGCATAAATTTATGCTTAAACTATGTGTGCTAAATGCACATCGCATATTGATAGTTATTTTGCATTAATTCGTAACGGACTTTTGCTTAACGGTTTTTTTTAAAATTCAAATTTTCACTTACGAATATTCATTACTTGTCAATTTTTTTTGTCCTACCAGAATATCTTTAGCTGCTCAAATTTATAGTATAATTAATAATTAGTAATATTAATTGAATGAATCATATAAATGACTTTTGAGCATTTCAAGTATAATATTTTAAACAAATTAAAATTTTATATAATTGACATTGGATTTTTTCCCATATAAAAAAGTTTTAGTTAAATTGTACTATAATTAAGCATTATTGTGGTTTTAAAGTGGTACAATATTGTATTGTCACCGGGAATACGTGTGTATAAAAAATTTGAGCTCGATTGGAGCAGTAGAAGTGGTCGAAAAATCGATTGCAAGATTTGATCGTGACCAACCAACCAACAGACAGAGCAACTCAATAAAAAGCGTGTAATAATAAAAACCAAATTGAGCCAAATCCGTAAATTAAACAAAAAAAAAATACGAAAAAGTGCGGACAATAGCGCCATTTCTTGAAAAGAAAATACGCTAAAAACCAAAAGCAACAAATTGTATAGAAACTTTGTACATACTTAAATTAAGATGTAAACAAAAAATTAAGAGAAATCTTGATACAATGTCGAAATTTTTGAAAAATTTTATCTGTGGAATCACCCTTTTACGATTCTCATCATTTAAACACAATAAAATGAAAAACTTTCATTGGCATACAAGAAATTTTCGAAAAAACGAGAAATCGGGAAAGCCTACCATTCAGGCAACATATTTATATTTTATTATATAATTATATAATCTTATATTATCTTATAAGAGGCAAAGTTTATTACTAAAGTGTAGATGAAAAATTTTTTCTCTTAAAATTTAGATAAAACGTAGACTGTATAATTTTTTTAAATGCAGCTCATGTGATGCCAGTTTATTCAGCATTAAGCATTTATACAGCAAACTGCTCTAACTTTTCACTGTGGACTAATATTGCTTGATATTTTTTTAAATTAATTTAACTTTAAAATTTTTTTTCTCTGAATCCATAATAGTGACAGATTCCAAAGTTATTTTTCTGGTAGGAGAAAAAAAAACAATCCCAATCTTTTGACATTGGCGTTTCCTCCGAAGGGGCGACCCTAGTCAAAATCAATTTTGTCACTTTTTTCTTCGAGGGTTTATACAAATGGATTGAAACTATGCATAAATATTCTAGTGCTTAAAACAAATACAAATAAAACATCATAAATTTTTTTGAGCAAAGGACCAAGTAGGAAATACATTTTCAATTTTGGACTAGGGGCGACCCTAATAAAATCAATTTTGTCACTTTTTTCTTCGAGGGTTTATCCAAATGAATTGAAACTTTGCATAAATATTCTAGTGCTTAAAACAAATACAAATAAAACATCCTAAAATTTTTTTGAGCAAAGAACCAAGTAGGAAATACAATTTCAATTTTAGACTAGGGGCGACCCTAGTCAAAATCAATTTTGTCACTTTTTTCTTCGAGGGTTTATCCAAATGGATTGAAACTTTGCATAAATATTCTAGTGCTTAAAAAAATACAAATAAAACATCTTAAAATTTTTTTGAGCAAAGAACCAAGTAGGAAATACATTTTCAATTTTGGACTTGAGACAGGTCCAGTCAAAATCTAGTTTTTCACTTTTTTCTTCGATGATAAATCCAAATACAGTAAAACTTTGTATGAGCATTCTAATCTTCAGGTCACACATTTTTGAATTAATAAAAATCATTTTTTTGGACAAAATTTTAAGTCACGTTGTTTTTGAATGTACAACCAAATTTATAAAATTTGGGTCTGACGACATATAGAATACATTTCTTGCTTTAGATATTTAAAACTGTTTTGTATAAATATTAGTATATTCACACAAAGTTTCACTGTAATTGAATAAACCCTCGAAGAAAAAAGTGACAAAATTGATTTTGAATAGGGTCACGCCTAGTCCAAAATTGCAAATGTATTTCCTCCTTGGTTCTTTGCTCAAAAAAATTTTAGGATGTTTTATTTGTATTTGTTTTAAGCACTTGAATATTTATGCAAGGTTTCAATCCATTTGGATAAACCCTCGAAGAAAAAAGTGACAAAATTGATTTTGACTAGGGTCGCCCCTAGTGCAAAATTGAAAATGTATTTCCTTCTTGGTTCTTTGCTCAAAAAAATTTTTTTCATCCAAAGTTTAATTTAAAATAAAAAAAAATCACAGTGAACTTTTAATTTGAGAAATTCGTAAAAAAGGAAAGTTTTTTGCTTTTTCTGAAACAACAGCTGTTCCTACCTTGCCCAAAAACAATACAGCTCTTCTATAGAGCAGCACGGATCAAATGTAAAAAACTAGAAGTATCTACAATGTCTCGTTATTGAGATTTCTTGCTGATTAACTTGCTTGCTTGCTTGTTTGCTTACAGAAAGCGTATTTTGCGATTTTCTCAGCAATGCCACAACCAATTTGAAATCTGTTTTTTGAAAATGATGTAAAATTTCAGGCACAAACTTTTATAACCAATTTTGCTTTGTTTTCTCACAAAATGCGAAAAACTGATTTTTCAATCTGAACAAAACCAATAGATTCACACGTGAAAACGGTGTGAATATAAAAACTTCAAGTACTGCAAAACAAATTCTTGAGAATTGTTCTCAATAAAACAATATATGAAAGGATCACTTATTATTCATTAACAGAGCTCAATTGTCAGCATTAGCTATTAAAAATCAAATTTTTGATTATAGAATTTTTGTAGCGGTTAAAAGAAATTCAAATATTGTTTACATGTTTGTAAACAAAGAAAAGTTGAGATGTCACTTTAATTGAACTGTTACATGCTTTTGCAGTCCTGATTTTTGCATTTTTACTCTTTTTTCAGCAAATTAATAACGTTTTTTTCCACGTTGAAAAAATTATCTACAGTTACAACTGTAGATATGTGTTACTAACTGTTAATAACTGTAGATTTCCGAACCCTAGTATTTATACTATTATTAATGATTTTTTTATTTTATAAACAAAAACACGCGATGAGTACGTTTAAAACATTTAACATTACCTCTATAATTTCATTTTTTTTCTAGCGGTTGTAAAATTTGAATTTCAAAAAACCGTTAAATGATAAAGACTTTCTATGTAAACATTCATTGCAACAAATTGTTAATTAAACTATAATTAATGATCTTCTGCGCTTAAGTCCCTCGATCAATACCACGAGGACTTCTGTAATTTTTGTATAATTTGCTGAGCAAATCGTAAACACGTGTGTTCTCGACTTTTACTAATAATTACAGCTAAATTTTATAAAAATATACTAGCTTCATTTTATTCGCATTTTAGGTATGAAAATTTTCATCTGCACTTTCGCAGTAATATCTACATTTTACAGTGCTATCTACTTTTTAGGACATAATTTTTATGATTTTTTGATTGAGTTATCGTTTTCTGCTTTTTCATATTATTCTCATGTTTATTTTAGATGGAGGAAAGCTGCTCTTTCAGTAATTTTTATTAATAAACTAAATAAGTTTAGTAATTCACACTTTTTAAAAAATTGTCAAATATAAATTGTGTACAAATAAAGAAAGAATCCAAAAAAAATAAAACTAGCAATGAAACCGACAGCGCTTCGTGGGAATATTCACACCATACTATTAAATATGCTTTCCCGATGACGAAATCGAGACCGAGACTTCCCGGGAAGTCTCGGCCTCGATCTCGAGAATTTTCCGAGACCGAGACCCGAGACTAGAGAAGAAAAAAATTTAAGTAAAAATGATAATTTTAGAATTTTTCCCATCACAGTTTGTAGTTAATCTTACAGTTAGGGTAAATGACCTTGAAATTTGCGCATTTTCACACATGAAATTTTCATTTGCTTTTGGATTTTTTCTCTTTTTGTATGGGATTTTTCGGGTGCAAATTATTGAGCTTCCTAATGGTTTAATATCACTAAAAATGATGCAAAAACATCTGCGCTGGTGTTCTACAAACATTTCCCATTGATCGTCTGAACAGAAGTGACATTTTTACATATAATTTTAAAATTTTCGTTTTCATACGAGTGCGCAAATTTCAAGGTTGCGCAAATTTCAAGGTTGCGCACATTTCAAAGTCATTTACCCTATCCAATTTTTGTGAATAAATATCAATAATAAATTAATTATTAGTAAAAGTTTTAAGCAGTTTTTAAAATGTATTAATATTTCAACGTAAAACCTGAATTTAAAATAAAAACTCCTATAATTTTTCATAGTTTGAAACTAAATTTACCGTTATCGAACTTATTGACATTTTCACAAAAAAACCTAATTTTTTTTAAGGATTTAAATGTGTATTTATAAGTTTTATGAAGTTTAAAACATTAAAAAATATTCAGTAATCCTATATATCGTTTTATTCATCAAATAAAATAGTTATTTGAGCAAGAAAGGTAAGTTTATTTATATGGAAATCTTATTGATTTATTGATGTACTTAAAAAATCCCTCATTTTTACCATCGGACAAAAATTGGTATAGCGTTACTTCAACAGCATTTTTCGGAAATTTCAACAAATAATGAACCAGTTCAGTCAACTTCCAACTCTCAAGTTACTCAATTACAACAAAATTCTCTTCGAGATCGTTTGAAGTTAAGCTTGATGCAATTTACATCAAATGAGCCTAGTACTCGAAACATTAATGAAAACTTAAAACGCGAGTTTTCATGGTATGAGAGAAATAAAGTCAAAACTCCGTTATTAAATCAGCTGTATAATGCACTGCTAAGCATTCAACCAACATCTACCCAGAGTGAACGTAATTTTTCAATCAGCAATAATGTTTTAACCAAGCAAAGGAAGCGATTGCTTAACAAAAACTTAAATGCTATCGTTTTTGTGAAAAGTCATTTCCAAAACCCAGAATAGTTTTAATAGGGACACACTTTCTTATCATTATGCTTTTCTTTTATCATTACGTATTTCGTATTTCTTTTATATTTTATATTATTATTAAGACAATAAAATTAGTTTGACTGATCGCATAACAAGGAATATATCCAGAAGTTCAATAACAAATAGACGTAATCTACATGTTCTAAGTGTTTTTTAATTACTTTCAGCGAAATTTTAAGTAGTTTTTAAAGTCGAGACTTCCCGGGAATTCCCGGGAAGTCTCGGTCTCGGTCTCGAGAATTTGTCGAGACCGAGAAATCGATAAAGCTTACTATTAAAGTCTATGTATTGTTCAGTAAAAATTAAAAGATCATCTACAACTTACAATCAAAATTAATATTTATACGAATAATTCCGGGTAATTATAAGATTTGTTCCGATATTATCAGAATTATTCTAATAACTCAACAATGGAATAACTTTTTTAAATTTGTTTGACAAACAAAATTAAATTCTCTCAGTAAGTACAATATTTTAGTTGGTAAAATTCCACTTTTATCACTACGTCACTACACTTTGAATTTTTTCGATTCCTTTTACACTTCTTTTTACTCCCGAATCGCGAATTTATTAATTTAAGTCACTTGAACTCACTCTATTTAACTAAAATTTCGTTTCAAAATTTTTACAATTTTTTTGATTTGTTTACAGTTATAGGGATCCACTTTTTGTAAAACTTCAATTTAGAAAGAAATTAAAATTGAATTAAATTTTTTCCAGAAGAAAATTTTCGTCTGCAATTTAAATTTCGAAAGGGATATATGAACAACTAAACTCATAAATTTTTGTTTGCGTAATAATGCTTTATTTAAGATTTATCGAAACTTAAACAACTATGCAAAACTAAGACCTTTTCAAAATTTTATTTTTAGTCGTTAATTTAGAAATTTAAATTTTTTGTTAGAATGTCCATGCGAAAATCACAACTTAAATTTTTGGAACTGTCAAATTAATTTTGGGTTTTCAAGAATTCAATTTAACTAATGTTTTAAATTTATGACTAATACATAATGAATAATATATAAACATTTTAGGTAACATAAACAGTATACTTCATACTGATGAAACATTTTCATCAATGACATTGGATTATATTCTCAATTCAAATTTAAATAAATTATTTGTACCGTAATTAAGCATTTTTAAGTTTCCGAAATGCTTGAATATTGTATTGTCATCGGAATCATAAGCGCATGCAAAATTTCAGCTCGATTGGAGCAGGAGAAGTGGTCGAAAAATCAGAAAGATAGAAAGACAGAAAAACAATAAAGAAATTTAAGAAAAACGTGGGAAAAATATCGATTTTATATCTTTATTAGCATTCTTTATCATTAATTATACCTAGATATGTTTTAAAATGCAATTTTAAGCATTTTTGGTTTTGATCATAGTAGGCTATTTTCAAAAAAATGTTGATTTAATATCTATATTAGCATTCTTTATCATTAATAATACCTAGATATGTTTTAAAATGCAATTTTAAGCATTTTTGGTTTTGATCATAGCAGGCTATTTTCAAAAAACTATCGATTTTATATCTATATTAGCATTCTTTATCATTTATAATACCTAGACATGTTTTAAAATGCAATTTTAAGCATTTTTGGTTTTGATCATAGTAGGCTATTTTCAAAAAAATATCAATTTTATATCAATATTAGCATTCTTTATCATTAATAATACCTAGATATGTTTTAAAATGCAATTTTAAGCATTTTTGGTTTCGATCACTATCGATTTTATATCTATATTAGCATTTTTTATCATTTATAATACCTAGATATTTTTTAAAATGCAATTTAAATCATTTTTGGTTTTGATCATAGTAGCCTATTTAAAAAAATATTGATTTAATATCTATATTAGCATTCTTTATCATTAATAATACCTAGATATGTTTTAAAATGCAATTTTAAGCATTTTTGGTTTTGATCATAGTCGGCTATTTTCAAAAAAATGTTGATTTAATATCTATATTAGCATTCTTTATCATTAATAATACCTAGATATGTTTTAAAATGCAATTTTAAGCATTTTTGGTTTTGATCATAGTAGGCTATTTTCAAAAAAATATCGATTTTATATCTATATTAGCATTCGTTATCATTAATTATACCTAGATATATTTTAAAATGCAATTTTAAGCATTTTTGGTTTTGATCATAGTAGGCTATTTTCAAAAAAATATCAATTTTATATCAATATTAGCATTCTTTATCATTTATAATACCTAGATATGTTTTAAAATGCAATTTAAAGCATTTTTGGTTTCGATCATAGTAGGCTATTTTCAAAAAACTATCGATTTTATATCTATATTAGCATTTTTTATCATTTATAATACCTAAATATTTTTTAAAATGCAATTTAAAGCATTTTTGGTTTTGATCACAGTAGCATATTTAAAAAAATATTGATTTAATATCTATATTAGCATTCTTTATCATTAATAATACCTAGATATGTTTTAAAATGCAATTTAAAGCATTTTTGGTTTTGATCATAGTAGGCTATTTTCAAAAAACTATCGATTTTATATCTATATTAGCATTTTTTATCATTTATAATACCTAGATATGTTTTAAAATGCAATTTTAAGCATTTTTGGTTTCGATCATAGTTGGCTTTTTTCAAGAAAAATATCGATTTTATATCTATATTAGCATTCTTTATCATTTAAAATACCCAGATATGTTTTAAAATGCAATTTAAAGCATTTTTCAAAGTAGGCTATTTTCAAAAAAATATCGATTTTATATCTATATTAGCATTCTATATCATTTATGATACCTAAATATGTTTTAAAATGCAATTTTAAGCATTTTTGCTTTCGATCATAGTAGGCTATTTTCAAAAAAAAATATCGATTTTATATCTATATTAGCATTTTTTATCATTTATAATACCTAGATATTTTTTAAAATGCAATTTAAAGCATTTTTGGTTTTAATCATAGTAGCCTATTTAAAAAAATATTGATTTAATATCTATATTAGCATTCTTTATCATTAGTAATACCTAGATATGTTTTAAAATGCAATTTTAAGCATTTTTGGTTTTGATCATAGCAGGCTATTTTCAAAAAAACTATCGATTTTATATCTATATTAGCATTCTTTATCATTAATAATACCTAGATATGTTTTAAAATGCAATTTTAAGCATTTTTCATAGTAGGCTATTTTCAAAAAAATATCGATTTTATATCTATATTAGCATTCTTTATCATTTATAATACCTAGATATGTTTTAAAATGCAATTTTAAGCATTTTTGGTTTCGATCATAGTAGGCTATTTTCAAGAAAAATATCGATTTTATATCTATATTAGCATTCTTTATCATTTAAAATACCCAGATATGTTTTAAAATGCAATTTAAAGCATTTTTCATAGTAGGCTATTTTCAAAAAAATATCGATTTTATATCTATATTAGCATTCTATATCATTTATAATACCTAAATATGTTTTAAAATGCAATTTTAAGCATTTTTGGTTTGGATCATAGTAGGCTATTTTCAAAAAAAAATATCGATTTTATATCTATATTAGCATTTTATATCATTTATAATACCTAGATATGTTTTAAAATGCAATTTAAAGCATTTTTGGTTTTGATCATAGTAGCCTATTTTCAAAAAAATATCAATTTTATAT